TGTTTCTTTTACCCAATGTCATGGTAATGAAAGTTGCTTACCAAGAAATACTTCTGTGCAACGTTTTTTATTTTATTTCTGGTGCTGCTGTTAATGGAAGAGTTATGTTCTCTTGTAGTGTATTCGGAGGAGAGGAAGAAGTTCCAGAGGTGAAGTTCTTATCATCCCTTGAAAAATCCTGTCTTTTCTGTCACTTTCTGAAATGTGTGTGTGAGTGTTTTTTTCCCCCAGAAGAACCAGAGCAGCAATCTGATGACTATGAAGCACAGCCATCATGGGATGATGATGGTGGTGAATTTGGTGGCCAGTTTGAAGATATGGATGCACACAGTGATATAGAGAACCCTAATACACTAGTTTCTCAACCTCGGCAGGTTGGTTCAAACGCAAATTTGAGCTACTTTGCTTTTGCCTCCTTATTAAATCATGGATGACGAATTTCCGGATGACATGACAAGTAGATGATATAGCACCACAATTGTGATGGGTTAATAATACTCTTTGGTTTTTTCAACCAACCCAGGTTGCTAAAATTGAAGTAAACTACGATAAGAGGTCAAAGCAAGTTGATGTCCAACGATTGAAGGAAACACTTTGGCATCATATGCAAGAATCTTCCCAATCATCTCTACAGGTAGCGCTACTAACCTGCTTACTATATGCACTTACCTTAGAAGAACCCATCCATGGGATTTATTAGTGACTAGAACATTTGCCTCAAATTAGTTTATCATCATCTCTCGGCCATCCACTTCTCAAGTGAGTTAACTAGATGCATGGACATGGAATTTTTCTTACTTATCGATATAAAACTCTGTGTACATGAGGAGGTCCAAGAAGAGCCAGCCTCGTTCAAGGACCTATTGGCAAGCTTTCCAAATGACTGCAATGCTGCTGCAACCATCAACGATATATCGCCTCATCTATGTTTTATATGCTTATTGCATTTGGCCAATGAGCATGGTTTGAGCATCCATGGCACCACCTCCTTAGATGATCTCAGCATCCATCTCCCCCAACAGAAATAGATTGGAGAGTTCCAGAGACCAACATTGATCTTGTTTGTACTTATAAGAAATTAATGTATGAAAGTTTGGTTTTGGGAAAATGTTTGTCTGGTTGTATTGTAGTGCTTGCCAATCATAGTTTTGCAAAGATAGTGTTTGCAAATTGCTGGTGTAATATAAGACAGAGGGTCGACGAAAGATGTAAGATGACATATCCGTCATTGCTCTTTGTGTTAGCTTTATGGCAAGCTTTGTTTATGCGGCACATACTGTTGTTGCTTTCTGTATGTTTCTTCCCTAATGTCATTTGTAATTTCAAAATTCTCTGGAACAACTTTTTTGTGGAAGAAAAGGAAAGATGATGTTTTACTTGTGTGATGTGTGAACTAAGGACAAATTACATGAGTTAACAGAGTCTGACGGAGACTGACGGCCAGTGACTACTGGTGAAAGGATTCGTATAGTTAGTAGTCAATAAGAAAGAAAAGTAATTTGGATGACAAACGTGAAAAATTAATGTAATTTGAGTGATCAAACGTGTAATTTAGCCTAAAAAAGTCTTCAATTACAAAGATTAAATTACAAAGTTAGATGGTTGATACAAATGGCGCTTATCAAGTGGTTATGTCATTAACAAGGAGATGAGACTTTTATTACTAGTGTGAAATTAAGAGGTGCCAGAGTGCTACAAATGTTACTCTTATATATATATTTATATGGTGTAATCTAGTGTATTTTTTTTTTAAGGGTGATATAGGTTTTTATGTTTTTGTTATTAATGAACTACTTATTTAAGGGTGATATAGGTTTTTATGTTTTTGTTATTAATGAACTACTTAAAAATTCGAATATGGGACTTCCAGGTTCTAGACTAGTGGTATTACCTAGATCAAGCCCTTGTTCGTAATCTATCATATCTTGAATAAAATTTAGAGTAGTACATAACCTAGTTTTTACTCTTTTATAATGACGGCTATACTCTAAACTAAGTTGTAAAAATTATTATTCTTTGAACCATTGTGTGGTTCACCTGTTCTTCAATTTCTGCACTATTTTGGAAAAAATGGGTCCATCCTTACGTCGCGTGTCTGATGCATCTTCTCGCTTGATGTTGGAATATGAATGTTTTTCAAACCCTCTTCCTTTTGGATAGTGATGGTTCATATAATTTTCCCCAAATGGGGATTATGGAAATGTAGGGTCTTTGTGAGCATAAAGGGAATATTGTGGAAGCATTGTGTAGCATTGTGTGGGAGGCTTAAGTACTCTCTCCTCCTTGTCATCCACATTTCAGTGCTCACTAATATCAAATCCTCCACGTCACTAAGGTCACTGTTGTACGGATGAGGAGATTTCTCATAGGGATCACCATTGCGACCATGCTGTGAAAATCTAAGATGTTAGCGCATCCTTCATCTCATACTATCTCTAAACAGTAGGGAAGGTAGGCACATTTAAGATGGTTGGTCTCTCACTATCTCTAAATACACTTTCTTTCTCTATAATACTTGTCCAACTTGATCGTTCGAGGTCTAACGGGCCTAATGAGCCCTTCGGTGTGTTGAGTTGTGAAGGCGCTTGGGCTTGGAACCTACAAATGAAGGTGCATTGGAGGAAAAAGAGTACCGTGGCATCAACAGGGGGATTCAATTTACTCTAATAATGTTCTCAAGAACCTTAAAACTTTTGCCTAGTGAAAATTAACTCATTCGAGATCGTTCGTGACGGCACCTGAAATATTCTATTTTTGTATCTCATTTATGGCAAGTTTTACATTATCTTGACATGAGCAATTTTTACTTGGATTTGCTTCGAGTGTGTTTAACCAATTATTTGATATCCTTTAAATTTCAAAGTGCTTAACCGTCCATTTGATAGAAAGAGCGTTCAAATATCAACAATGGCTTTATGTTCCTAAATTGATGTTTCTAGTTATTTCTATCCCCATGAGTGGTTAGTTTGATAGTTGTTCAGGTTTCTAGAACCTAAAGGTTCCTAAGATTGTTTATGACACTTTGATATTTATATGTCGCGTTGAGTTATTTGTCTAACCTATTTCATTTATTATTATTGATTACATTGTCATATATCTGTTTCATATGAGATTGATGGTGAGATACTTATCATATGATAAGGAACACCAATATTGATGAATGACTAGATTGTTAACAAAAAGGATAATCGTTACAATAGAATTGTCTCATTGTTCGCAGGCCGCCTAGTTTAGCTCTACCGTGGGAACTATTAGGGTTTGGGATAGGATATTGCATTGAAATAGGGGTGAAAACCTTCATAGATAAACTAAACTACATGTGTTTTATTTGGGTTGCATATACATTTGGAAACTCTAGAGGAAGTAATACCTAATCAAAACATTTTACTTCTTGCTTTTACTCGTGGTTTGTGTTAGTCTAGGGCTTATAATTTAGTGCTATATTAGTTGTTTAGTTTTGTGCTCTTTGGTTTTGCGCTTGTGTTGTTTTCAAAAGCATTTTGAGACACCACAGTTCCAATTGACTTTCTAAAAACACAATTGGTTATTCAAAGTAGTGGGAGGAGAAATGTCTTGAGGGATTACGATCTTGGTAGTCTTCGTATATATCGAGTTAAAGTTGACCTATCATACGGTGAATCGTATCCATGTATCATTAACAAACATGCTTTTATAAGTGCAGTGTAACAAAATTCATTAGATGCATATATTGTTAACAGCGTCGAGCGCGAGACGCCTCCTTCTCCTGTTTCTTAGTTTGGTTCATGCGAACCCTAAATTCCCTTTCGGGAGGATCAAGTGAAGATGAAAAATACGATTGCTGAATCGAAGACAAAATGGAAACAAACTCAGGTAGATGTTTGTAGGCCGAGAGATCACTCTCTTTTGTTGGGCTCGAATACACAGGCCCACTCAATTGTCAGCCTGATAATTACTCCCTATTAATGAAACGATTCGTTTCGTTTCTCTGCCCAGGGCTTTCTTCTTCCTTCACAAAAGTCTGGTTTCCTTGAACAGACTCGAACTCCCCTGTACCTGCAAAAACAGAGAAGCAATCCAAGCAAAAGATATAATACTGAAGTAAAAGACACAGGCTCAGTTTTTTACGTGGTTTCCAGTATTGGGAGAAAATGAATCCCAATACTGACTACTCCACGGTTGGAAAATCACGATTTGTGATTTCCAACGATCCACTAGATATGCTGTTCTTGATATATGACAGTTATGTGCTCCACAAGATCAACCAAACCAATCCTGGAAGGATGATCAAGATTTCTATCTACTAACCCCAATCCCAAGCTATCCAGCTTCAGTGTTTTCCAACACCTCTTTTCCCTAACACTGTTTCACTCCTGAATCAATGCTAAAAACCCCCTTTTCACTATCAATCACACTCGCTATATCTCTAGCGTTTCCTGTGTAACTTGATCTCTCGGAAAAGTACTCTCTTCTTGATTCTGAGCTGAGTATTTGTACTCCTTGCTGGCTAGACGTTGTCTTCCAAGTATAGTAGGTCTTCTCCTTTGAATTCCTTCCTGGAATTCCTTGTCTCAATCAATCCTTTTGATTTTCCAAATCTGCTTTCCCCTTGTTCGTATTTCTTTCCAAATGCTGCTCCACCAGAGTTGCGATCTCTTTTTCTTGATTTAAGATTATTGACTGGCTTGATTTGTCAACAATCTCCCCCTAAGACAGTCAATGATCCTCTTAGCTGATGAAGGAGTTCCTGCACACACTTCAACACACTGTTACGTGCAGACTGTTCTAAAACAAGTTTTGCTCAAGTATATCAACTCAAATGACAATTCAAGCCGAGACAATTTATTGATTGTTGAAACAGACTTGTTGAAACAAAGACTCGAAATACTCTAGACTCATACTTTGAAAAGTAAAATGACATGAGCCCAGACAGGGCATTTATTCAACATTGACCCTACGACATCTACGAAAAGCACACTACCCGGCCTACCTTCTGACTCCCCCTAAGCTTAATATTCCTTCTAAAAAGAGAACCTAGGTGACGGTACATAGTCTGATATGGTATCATCATCCTCAATCATCAGACCCCTATTGCTACTGCTTGCCTCCTCCTGCCTGAACATAGCCCGAACAGCCTCCAGCGGGTCCACCATTGGTCGCTTCCCATTGTCTCTTACGACTCTGTCTGCCATGTCTGTATCTGGTCCTTCCTCTGCTTCATCCCCTCCTAGCTCAGACAAGCTGAGTCCGTCCTGGCGAGAGGGAACTCCAGCAGTTGCTGCTTCTCCCCCTGGAGCATTGACTCGGGGGCCACGACGTCCAACAGAAGCGTCCACCTTACGAAGAACGAATTGAGCACGAAGAGAACCGAGAATATCAACACGAGCCACTTTAAAACGGAGATCTATGCCTAAGGCCAGCAGAATCTGAGTAATCTGTGGTGCGAAAGGTAGATCAGCAGCATAGTTATCAGCATGGAAGTTCAACATGTGGTCGAACATAAGATGGGGATAGCTGATAACTCGGTTTTCTTTGGCACTAGCCAGGATCCAGAGATCTGAAGGATAAATTGTGTTGAGCCCAAACGACCTAGGCAGAAAGCATCGAGTTATGTAGAAATGCATCACTTTAAGATCATCTGGGAGTCGCCCAGCATGAAACTCAGAGGGATAGTAACGTCCAGTGTCGCGAGTATACAGGCGCATAGCATCTCCTTCATTGAACTCGATTGAATGAAAGTCAGATTCATTCATGACTTCAGCTCCCGCAATGGGAATTCCAAGCAACAGAGACAGTAATTCCACATTGATGGTGATCAGATAGTTGTATACTATCGTTGTAAAGCACGGAGGAGAGATATGAAGACACGACTTCATATTGGCAGAAAACATCCGAACTGCCTCAGGTCGAAACCCAAAGTTGCGATTTGGAAGAATATCCCCCCATCCAATAGTGCTAATTAGGCGTGGGACATCCATCCCATACCTATTGAATCTGGAGGGATCAAGAGTGATAGAGGGATGCAGGGAACGATCTTGAAAGTGATGGAGGTAGCGAGCATACCCCGCTGCATCTTCAAAACCCTTTCCACAGAAAATGGCAGCTTGAGCTAGACGTAGAGAAGCTATGTGTTGGTTTTGGGCAGCCATGAGAGCCTTTGGATTGCAAACGATAGATGAGGTATGGGCTACGATCCTGCTCTCCTTTTAAGGTGGAATGGTGAGTTCATTAAGGGAAGGTGAGTCTGAATAAGGAATCAGAGAAACTTGATCCGGAAGAATTCCAAGAATCATGGAAAGATTTATTGAGGAAGGTAAGTTAGTTCACGAATTAAGGGGATTCTTGATCCTAAGCTTTTTCTAATGGAATCGAGGCAAAGAAGGTAACTCAGATCAGCTAGATGATTCCTAGGACTTGGTCGGCAGATGAGCTATATCTTGTAATGTGAATAACCCTAATTCACGACGGATTCGAATGAAGGATTCTGAGCCCAAAGGCTTCGTGAAAATATCAGCCCATTGGCATGAAGTTGGGACAAATTCTAGTCCTATTTGCCCTTCTTCTACTAGATCACGAATAAAATGATAACGAACATCAATGTGTTTTGTTCGAGAATGTTGAACTGGGTTTTTGGTCATATTGATTGAGCTTGTGTTGTCACACAGCACAGGTACAGAACTAGTGAGCAGGCCATAGTCCTGAAGCTGATGCTTCATCCAGAGAATCTGAGTACAGCAGCAGCCTGCTGCAATGTACTCAGCTTCGGCTGTTGACAAAGCGACAGAATTTTGCTTCTTACTGAACCATGACACTAAAGAGGTACCTAGAAACTGACAGGTTCCTGAAGTACTCTTTCTGTCTACAACACACCCTGCATAATCAGCATCTGAATAACCTAGAAGCTCTAAACTCGATTCATGTGAATACCACAACCCAAGATCAGGAGTACCACTCAAGTATCTAAAAATTCGTTTAACAGCACTCAAGTGACTCTGTTTAGGTGAACTTTGAAATCTAGCACAGACACAAACACTGTACATAATGTCAGGACGACTAGCAGTTAGGTACAACAGGGATCCTATCATCCCTCTGAATAGCTTATCATTAACTGGACTTCCCGAATCATCCTTATCAAGCTTAGTGTTTGCTGCCATGGGGGTTATAGCAGTCTTTAAATTTCCAAAATCAAACCGTTTTAACATGTTTTGAAGATATTTGGTTTGGCAAATGAAAATTCCAGCAGACGTTTGTTTTATTTGAAGTCCTAGAAAGAAATTCAACTCCCCCATTAAACTCATTTCGAAGGCACTCTTCATTTTTACTTCAAATTCTTTGCACAGTTTTTCACTTGTTGACCCGAAAATAATATCATCTACGTACACTTGAACTAACAGAATATGTTCCTTATCATGTTTAATAAATAGAGTCTTGTCCACTTTGCCTCTCCTAAAGCCATTTTCCAAAAGGAAGGAGCTCAGTTTATCATACCAGGCTCTGGGAGCCTGTTTTAACCCATATAAAGCCTTTTTTAACTTATATACATGATTAGGATAACTGTGATTTTCAAAACCTGGGGGTTGAGACACATAAACCTCTTCTTTTAGATCTCCATTTAAGAAAGCACTTTTTACGTCCATCTGAAACAGTTTAAATCCTTTTGAACTGGCAAAAGCACATAGCATGCGAATTGCTTCTAGTCTAGCAACTGGAGCAAATGTCTCCTCGAAGTCTATACCCTCTTCCTGACAATATCCTTGAGCCACTAATCGAGATTTGTTTCTAATCACAGTACCTATCTCATCGGACTTGTTCTTATAAATCCATTTTGTTCCAATTATGACTCGATTTTCTGGTTTAGGTACTAACTCCCATACATTAGCACGTTCAAACTGGTTCATTTCTTCAAACATAGAAGCTGTCCAGAATTCATCCTGAAGAGCTTCTTCTATATTCTTAGGTTCGATTAACGACACAAAAGCTGCTAGAGAAGGCAAAGTTCTTGATCGAGTAGTCATACCTTGGTCTAATCCACCAATGATCTGGCTGGGAGGATGTCGCTTTACTATATGAGGAGGAGGTTGTATTGCAGTTCCCTCGGATCCATCTTTAATGTTGATCTCTGTCTCAACAGTCTGATCAGAGGCTGTCACTTCCTTTTCATCCGAAGACGGTTGCTTTGTAGTTCTGTCTTGAGTTTCTACTGCTGTTCGTGCTTTACTTTGAGTAATGCTTTTTCCAAGTCCAAAGTCCTCATTGTCATCAAAAACATCTGTACACTCAATAACACCCTCATCAAATATCACGTTGGCGGACTCCTCAACCTTGAGGGTCCGCTTGTTAAAGATTCTGTAGGCCTTACTAGAGTTTGAGTACCCTAAAAATACTGACTCATCAGACCTAGCATCGAACTTCCCTAGATTATCTTTAGTGTTTAAGGCAAAACACTTACATCCAAAAGGATGAAAGTATCCTAAGTTAGGCTTTCTTCCTTTCCAAATTTCATAAGGAGTTTTATTCAAGTTTGATCTAATTAGTGCTCGATTGGTTACGTAACATGCTGTATTAACTGCCTCCGCCCAAAAGTACTTAGGCAGATTGTAGTCATGAAGCATGGTACGAGCAATATTAATTAGGGTTCTATTTTTTCGTTCCACTACTCCATTTTGCTGGGGGGTTCTTGGAGCAGAGAAATTATGAGTGATTCCTGAGTCATTACAGAGTTGCTCAAACATATCAGAACAAAATTCCCCACCATGGTCACTTCTAATGCTTGCAATCTGACTCAAATTTTCATTTTCAACCCTTTTAATAAATGTTTTAAATTGCTCAAAAGCTTCATCCTTTTTAGCCAAAAACAGCACCCATGTAAACCTAGAGTAGTCATCTACAATGACAAATGCATACAGTTTTCCACCATAGCTAACAACGTTTGCAGGCCCAAACAAATCAAGATGTAGTAGTTCTAGGACTCTAGATGTGGACACGACTGTTTTACTCTTGAAGCTGGACTTGGTTTGTTTTCCTTGAGCACAAGTATCACAGAAGAAGTCCTTCTTCTTGTTGATTCTTGGCAGACCCTTAACTAGATTCATTCTGGCCAGCTTAGATAGAACAGCAACATTAACATGACCTAATCTCCTATGCCAGTCTTGTTGTTCACTAGTTTCCATGCTAACCAAACACATCTCATTAAAACTACTCTTGTCGTTTAGGTCAATGGTATAAATTTTCCCACTTCTTTTTCCTGTAAATAAGATTTGTCTGCTTTTCATATTTTCCACATAGCAGCAATTTGACTCAAAGATAATTCGATTATCCTTCCCACACATCTGACTAATGGATATCAGATTATGTTTCAAGCCTTCCACTAGCATTACATTCCTTATGCAAGGACTACTTCCTACTTGACCTTTACCAATTATCTCAGCAGAATTGTTATCACCAAAATAAACTTTACCAAAGTTTCCTGGTTTAAGAGATGAAAAAAGGTGTTTATTACCTGTCATGTGATGTGAGCATCCACTATCCATAATCCATTTAGTCACCTCCATGCTCACTTGAAGGCAACTCTGCAAACACAATATTCATTTTGTTTTGCAAACCCAGATCTTCTTGGGTGCATTTGAGATTCTCGAATCATAACATCGTTCATACTGACCACATTTGGATGTACTATTCTTTTCAGCTTCTGACTTGACTACCCAGACTTGTTTAGTTAAACCCTGAGACCAATGTGAATTCACGTTTTTCATGGATTCTGATCTAAGTCTTTTTCTGCAGTCCCTAATTTTGTGACCAAAAGAATGACAATAGTAACACTCAACCATTCCTCGATTACTGTCTATTCGTTTTCCAGACTTATGCAGTCTTTCTTTTTCGTGTAGTTCTTTTTTAAGGTTTGCACACTCCTTTTGACACTTTTCCTTTTCTACCTTTATCTTTAGTAAATTGTCATTGAGTAGGTTTTCTCTTGCTTTACTCGATACTAGTTCCATTTCTAGTTCTGTTAATCTGAGCAGATTCACTTCGTTTTCCTTCTTCAATTTACTATATTTGTTTTTAACATTTTCAAACTCTGTTTGAATATCGTTGATAATTTCACCTAATAACTCATCATCAGAATTATATAGTTGTTCTAGTTGCGCAGATCTTACCTGGGTCAAGGATACAGGAGAAGCTGGTTCTTCATCTTCTTCTCCCACTTGATCAGCAACTGCCATATATGATCTGTGAACTGTTACTTCGTCATCTTCTTCATCCTCATCTTCACTGCAACTCCATGTAGCTGCTAAGGCTCTCTCCTTTTTTAGCTGAGGACACTCAGCTTTGATGTGCCCCATTCTGCCACACTTAAAACAACCTGTCGAGCTTACCCCCTTGGTTACTGAACTAGGTTCTCCTCGATTTCTTGTGAAGTTTCTTCCTTGAGCATTCTTTATTCCTCCATCATTCTTGTCAAAATCTCTAGGCTTAGTTCCGTACCCACCTTGTTTCTTTTCTCTTCTAATCCTGAGTAGCCTGCTTATCTGTTTGCTCAACAATGCTAATTCTTCGTCTTCCATCTCCTTGAGTTCTTCAGGATCGTCAACAAGGCTAGTTGCCTTAAATGCCACTCCTCTTTTTCCCTTTTCGGTGGTTTCCTTCTCGTGTCCTGCCTTTGCCAATTTTTCTTCGTGCGTAGCCAGTGACCCAATCAATTCGTCTATAGCTAATATCTCCAGATTCTTCACTTCTTCTATGGCTGTTACTTTTGGAGTCCACTTCTCAGGCAGACACCACAAGATTTTTCTCACCAGATCACCACTTTCATATGTTTTCCCTAAATTCTCCAAACTATTCACAATGTTGGTGAACCTTTAATACATTTGCCTAATCGTCTCTCCATCCTCCATTTTGAACAGCTCAAACTGATGTTTCAGGGCATTTATATGAGAAATTTTGACCTGGGAAGTACCTTCATAGGTGATCTGCAACTTGTCCCAGATTTCCTTGGAAGTCTTGCATCCAGCCACTTTGTGATACTCCTCTGGTCCCAGCGCACAGTACATCAAGTTCGTCGCCTTACAATTTTGCTGAAACTTCTCGAAATCTTCATCTGACCATTTCTCTTGGTCATCCTTGAGTTCATGGGGACCCTTGATCACTCTGG